AGATCCACTCCTCCTCCATTTCCCTTCAGAAAAGAGCAAATCTCCTAGGGATACTAACTAAACCTAGCATACATTACAATAAAACTAGGTATATATTTCATATGAAGGCTGGACAAGACAACTTAGTAGGAGGAGGAAAAGGGTCCCAAAAGCAGGAAAATGAGTCACAGACAACCCTTCTGCTTTTAAGCATTTCACAAGAACACCAATCTACACAACCATTACATATAGAGAGAGGACATAGCTTAAAATTACTCTTTTAAGATTAGAGAGGCTTCAAATGAAAGGCTTGGGTACTATAGCATCACAGTAATTTCAACCATTGATCTTAGGGAATATCAAGACATCAGTTTTCTACATTTTAGTCACTAGTTCACCTGGAATTTATCTTAGCATTAGAGGCAATTTATAAGAAAAACTGTTTGCTCCCTCTACATATAGATTCTGTTGCTTCCAACTGTTTTGTAATCCTTTATCTCTTCCTCCTTTTTCTTTAAAATGTTACAAATGTGATTTTCTATGTCTTCTGTGTGACACTTTTTGTACTCTTAACAAATATGTATTCAAGGTTATGTCTACAAATCTGTCTGGATGTGGCTTATGATCCTTAAAGTGATAATGAGAAAAAAAAGACATTTTTGTTGCTGTACAGCATTTGCAATGTGGGTGTAAAGCAACTCTGAGAGGTGATCAGATGTCACTCAAGCAAAAGCAAAGCTGTGATGGCAACTAAATACCATTTTTTTTTCTGACTGCTGCATGCTTTAGAAGAAAACTATGTTTTTAAATGTATCTGTAGTAAGTCCATAAAAGTGAACAATGTTAACATCCTGTTTCATTATTTTTAATGCTCTGAGTGACAAAATAGAAAATGTCTAAAAGATAAATAATCTATTACTTGCAAAAACTGAGCAGTACTCTCAAGGAAAGGAATTCATGTGGTTGTGTTTTATGATGAGCTAGACACTTTCTTTTCCTGAGAATTTTACTTAAGAGTGTTTACAGTTAAAAGTATGGTGATTCAGACTAGTGTATTCCCTAAAAATTTTTAAAATTAATTAAATGACTATGGCCCATTCCCTCAATGTTGATAAAGACATAGTTTTAAAAGAAAAAAAAACGTAATTTTGGAAAGTCAATATAATGGCTTTCCAACATTTAAAGGCTCTAATGAGGAAACTAGTAATCGAATTACTACATGTGATTTCAATTGTATCTTATAATGGTGAAATTTGGTACTAGCACTTTTTTTTTCAGACCTTTGTAGCTCAGTGGGCATTTCCCAAATGACTAATATACAATGTTACAAAAAAAAATGAACAATAAAAGATCCACTCAAAGAGCAAAACTGACTGATGGATCTTCATATAATAGACTATAGAAATACTGTGGTTTTAGATTATGCTGTTCGAAAATGTTAAAAAATACCACTTGTGGAGTTTTAGTGTAAGATACATGATTCCCTGAAAAGGCTATAGAATAGTCTTTTATCAGTGGCTAAATATCAGAGTAGATTTATATTTTCTTTGTATATTTACAAAAAAGAAACACCTTGAATAGTTCATAAACAAAAGCTGATATGAAATTCTGCCTGACTTGTTTTCCCTAAACAAGATACTAAAGAGAGTTACAGCACTCTAAAGTATATCACTCTTACTTGTTTGGGAAAATAAATTTTCTGATTAAATGCCATGCATAATGCTAGCATGGCATAGCTTTAATGGTATATTTAAAATAAGAAATATGTAAATTAACACTGTTTTTTTTTTAAAATAGATAATTAGTTACAATTGAAAAGTATTCCACTGTATATATTTTCATATTATTAATATCCATTCATCTGTTGAAGGACTTTTAGGGTGGCAATGGCAATGGACATTACTAAGCAAGTATCTATGGAATATGTTGTTGAGTCCATTGGGTATATGCCAATTAATGTGGCATATATTAGATTCATTTTTATTTTCTTGAGAATCATCTGAAATTATTTCAAGCATGAACACACCAATTTGCATCCCTACCAAAGTGAACATGGGTTCTCTTTTTATACAACTTCACCAGCCTTTGTTGTTAGCAATTTTGTTGATATTAGTCATTCTAACTAGAGTGAGATGAAAACCCAAAGTAGTTTCAATTTGCATTGTACACACATGTATGTATTATGTTTGTATGTATGTATGTATTATCATCTATCTATTTAACAATAATAATCAGATGAAAAGTAGACTGTCAATTTGAGAGCAGGAAAAACATGGGAAAGATTATTGGGAGAATACTTGGGCAGAGCTGGAGGGAATACAGGGTGTAATATAATATTATTTCAACTAAAAACTATTGTAAAAAGAATAAACATATAAATAATTAAATAAATAAATAATGAAATTTAAAAGAACAAAATAATTTGGTGTCCTCAACAACTTTAAAGAATATCAAGGTACTGGGAAATGTCTAGAGATCTACAAGGATGACCCCAGTTAACAACCTAAGCAATATTTGAGTGGCTACCTTAATTGCCATTCCCACATAATGAGATTGATGACTATCTTATATGCCATCCTAGAGCCTTCATCTAGTAGCTGATGGAAGCAGAAGCAGATACCCACAGCTAAACACTTAGCCAAACTCTTGGATTCCAGTTGCAGAGAGGAAGGAGTAATGAGAAAGGGTTCAAGAACAAGATGGAGAAACATGTAGAAACTGCTGACTTGAACACGGGGGAGCTCATGGACTCCAGTCTGATAGCTTGGAGACCAGCATAGGACCAACTCAGATTCCCTGAATGTGGGTGTTAGTTAGGAGGACTGGGCAGTCTATGGGGCCTCTAGTAATGGATCAGTATTTATCCCTAGTATATGAATGTACTTTCGGAGCCCATTCCACAAAGAAGGATACTCTTTCGGCCCAGACACATTGGGGGGGGGGGGAGCTGGGCACTGCTACAAATGACATGACAGACTTTGAAGACTCCCCATGAAAGGCCTCACTCTCCCTGGGGAGCAGATGGGATGGGGCAGGGACAGGGGAGGATGAGGGAACTGAGACTGATATGTAAAACAAGCTTGTTTCAAATTTAAATGACAGAAATAATTTTTTAAAAAATATCAAGGTGTGCTGTGACCAAAAATTTGACACTAATTTCTCCAAATATGATTGCCAGTTTCCTGCTCTTATTCCTTTCCTCTCCCTACTCTCTCACACATACACATACTTCTCCTCCTCTCTGGAACCATATGTATATTGAAATAATTCTTTCTGAAGAAATTATGTATATTAATAGCACAACTTTACAACCTGGATAGACTTAGATCATATCGATAACTCTTTTACATCAGACCTTTTGTATTCTGAAACATTTAGTTTTTTGAATCACCTTTAACAGTATATTGAAACATTTGCAAAAATTGCTATATAGTAACTAGAATTTTAGTATATGCTAAAGATAACAATCTATGTTTAAGTAAAATAAAAAAAATCTCTATACATAAAAGCAATCATATTACCAGAGGAAGCAATCCTATAATCAAGAAGGTAAATTTTTGATATATCAAAGGGTAGCATTAGGAAGACATATTTGTATGTATATGAAAATAAACATTTAAGTTGGTTCTTGACAGGTAAATAGTAATAAATGATGAATCTTTCACAATATCAATAATATTCTTTTATTTAAATAGTCCTATTTCTTTACCTTTAAATTTTAAAATTTAGATGAAAGCAATTCTATACTTTTCAATGGAAATATCACAGTCATTACATATTTTACAGATAAGAAAATTAATGAACTGTTTAGATATGAATTATACATTTGCTTCCTATATTTTTTCATACATGTACAAAGATTTGAACAAATATTCACTATTTCATTTAGTTTATTAATCTCTAGGTAACATTTTTGTTGCTTTTACAGTGTGAAGGAAACATGATTACATTCACCCTGCTATTTTATGATGTGATTATCTTTTTAAAGACAGCTTACTGCCATTATCTTATGGTCTTTGGGTGTTGTATATGCAAGTAATGTTGCTAAGAATTGTATTTTACAACTTCAAGTTTGAAACTCCTATTTCAGTTTCTCTGTGTATCAAAATATATACCATTATATATATTTAAGCAGAGTATTTCTATGTTTGTTTCCAAACCCTAAATATTTTTTTTTAAATACATGGACTAGGCAAAAGGAAAAATTAAACCAGCTTTCATTCTCTATCTTGTAGCACTATACAGTATCATCATGTGGCTTTTACTAAGATTTTATAAATGATAACAGACAAAATTTAAGTTGAATACCAATGGTTATTGCTAGTAAACACAAAATCTGTTGTGCCCAGCTGTGTTTGAAAGAATGGTATTGTTTATAATGGACGATTTTAGATATTCAAATTGTTTAGGCAGTCTGATAGGATCGCACACTTTGAAAAAGTTTACACATTTTTGAAAATAATTATTGATGTAAAGTGAATTCCAATTTTTAAAATAGCAAATAATTGTGGGCTTATTAAAGCAAAGCCATTAAATAAAACAAAAATCTCTTTTAACAACCAGGTGTATAAAATTATACATAATCTCAATTACCCATTATGATAATATGCCTACATTATCTAAACCAAAGATAATTTTAAGTAAAATAATGAATCATGCTCCAAAAGAAATGAGAGTCTATTTGGTCCAAATAGCAAAAGGTGTCTTACAAAGTTCAGAAACATGTAAGAAAAGTTGAAATGTTAAGTAGACACAGAAACTGAGTCATGTTTCTGCCTACAACCTAATTAGACTATTGGTAAATTCCAGGCAGTTGATTCTGAGTGATTTGCACTCTACATTGATGACAATAGAGCTTGCAATTTTGTAGCTCAGTTGGGTGGATATATTTTAATTTCCCACTAATACAATAGAAAGGCTTTGCCATGTCTCTGAAAGGCAGCTCTTAGGATGTGTAACTGCTGTTAGCTTGTCTGTGAAAAACCAACCTAAAGTAACAATCTTTGTTGATGCTTGCTCAGATCAGGTGGACCAAAACAGCAGGAAGTGCCTCTGACAGATTCCAAGACTCAAGTGTCTTCAATGAGACTTTGAGGATCACAAACATTCAAAGACACCAAGGTGGCCGCTACTACTGTAAAGCAGAGAATGGCTTGGGGTCCCCAGCAATAAAGTCGATCCGAGTGGATGTGTACTGTAAGTAAACTTTAGCCAACTACTGTTGCGACATTTGCTTCTGTGCTTAACTATGGTTTTCTAAAAATTAACAAATGTGTTTTCTTTACTTGTGAGTGAAAATTTTATATGGTAGTGGTAATCCTTTAAGGAATATCTTTTTTTTTTTCTGTGCTTCTGCACATGGTTGGGTTTTTAAAAAGGTAAGTGGGTAATTTTTGGTGTACTTCATCAGGTTCAGACTACAAGTGTGTGTCACCATACCCAACATTTCCTTGTGGAGTTTGAAGGCAGAAATCAGGCCCCAAAGCTTGCATGGCAGAAGCATTTATTAACCTTGCAGTTCCCTAACTTGCTCTGAGACATTTCTGAGAAGGGAAATTTCACTCCAGAGTTTCATTATTTGTGACATATTAATATTCATATATAGTATGTGATGTTACATTAGTCAGATGGTAAATATTATCAGTAAGGCCAATAGCCTCTCTGTATTTAGTGTGTACACAAATACACATATACTTTTTATGTTTACACGTGGAGCACTTTGTAGTTGGTTTCCATCAGCTCATCAGGAGTGGCACTATTAGGGAGTATGGCTTTCATAGAGTAGGTGTGGCTTTGTTGGAGAAAGTGTGTCACTGTGGAGGTGGGCTGTAAGGTGTCATATATGCTCATGTCAAACCCAGTGTCTAAGTTCACTCCCTGTTGCCTGTTCAAGATGTAGAATTCTCAGTTACCTTTACAGTACCATGTCTGCCTGCATGCTGCCATGAACCACCATGATGATAATGCACTGAACCACTGAACTATAAGCTACCCCAATTAAATATTTTCCTTTATAAGAGTTGCTATGGTCATGCTGTGGTCACAGCAAGAGAAACCCTAGCCAAAGCAGCATGTAAGTTGCCACATCTATATCTTCTTTTATTTTGTTGTTGTTGTTGTTAATATTATTATTATTATTATTATTATTATTATTTGGTGATGAAAGTGTCTTTATTTTTAAAACTAAAATATTAACAGCATTTTATTTAAAATATAAAAAGTTCTTACAATATGAAAAAAAGGATGACATTGGAGAAGAACTGGAGAGCTGAAAACGAAAAATGCTTGAATAAAAAAGGAGCTAATTATGCTAGTCAAGTTTCTGTTATTATAATAAATATATTAGTTCATTGCTTTCTGAAGATAAAGGGAATATTTGGCTTATAGTTTCAAATATTACACTCCATGAGGGGTTGTTACTTGTTTTGTGTCTGTGATGAAGTAGTATATCCAAGAACATGCATGTGGTACAGCCACCTTACCAGTCATTGCTTTGATCAGGGTTTCTCTGCGTGTAGCTCTGGCTGCATGGAACATTTTCTGTATGTCAGGCTGGTTTTGAACCTACCTTTACTTCCCAAGTGCTATAATTAAAGGCTTGCATCACCATAGTCATGCACACATCTATATATTAATGAACTTTATGGGTAAAGGCACTTTCCATAATGTACTCTGACTTTCTTAATCATTTTACTTGTATACAAAGCCATTCTCATTTTAAATTCAAATCTGTGTATGCAAGCGCAGTTATCTGCTTTGCCTTGTGTAGGACCACACATCTCTTTCTCTCTCTCTCTACAGCAGACTGTTGTAAATGACCATTAGTAACCCTGAAAATATAGCTCCTTCCAGACAATGTTGCTTGATTTGTTTAATTATGTCACATTCTCCTACTTTTCCTTCTTTACAATTGTGTTTTGAATCTTCTGCTCTCTTTTCTTCTTTCCCCAGCAAAGAAATTAAGTGCTGGCATTTAGTTCGGTCTTTTACACAGGTTCATCTGGCGCTCTTGTTGTTTTCACATGAAATGGCATTTATTTTTAAGTCTCTAATATTAGAATGCATTTTTCTCTCCTTTAAGTAATTCAGACATAATAACAAGTGAGGGGTTCCTGTTTCCCAGCCTGTTTTCTTTTTATTCCCCTTTCCTGTTCTTTCAACATAGTGCAGGTGTTACATAGTTAGGGAGAGGCTAGAAATTATCAATGGTCTATTCATAGAGTCTACGCTGGGCTCATTTATTTATGGAGACAATAAGGAAGGAAGTAGTGACAGCAGCATTTGTGATTCATCTTGCACAGATAAGTGCTTGTTGCCCTCTTGTGTATGACAGACGCTTGTGCTCTATTCTGTCCAGAATCTTTTAGCCACAGGACATCCTCTGACATGATACCTATTTGCCACACTTATTTCCCATGTATCCAGGTTGGCCATACCTGTGTACTTTTCAGCCATAGTCAGGTACCAACTATCCACTTAAGTTCTATACAGTTTGAATTTATTTGTAATTAAACTGAATTTTACTTCAATCAATCAAATACTCTGTTATTTGGTTATGGTACACTAGTTAATTAAATATATTGCTATTTGCTTGTATGTTTAATTACAAATCTCTAGTATCTTGAATATAATTCAAAGTTCTAAAATGTTCTAAAAGTGAATAGAATTTTTTTGTGGTTTTATCCTGCTCTGTTTATATAATTGGTTGTAACAAAATGTAACTGGAAATTCTGTGAGTAGATAATTTTCACTTTTAATGTACTATTTATTTACTTTACTTTGCATGGACAAACATATTTTGCTCATAAATTTTTTCAAATACAGTATAGACATCAGTCCTGCAATGGGACTTATATATCATATGGTGTATATATTGTATTTTTCTAAATGAATTCTTATCTTCTGCACACAGTATTAACCAATTTTGAATAAGAATTTCTGACTACATTGCTACCACAGTGGGTTTGATGGCAATACAATATTTGCCTTTGGGACTTAAAAACTCATATACAAAGGAGGAAATTACATATGAGGAGTTTTAAAAGATTTATTTTTCTTCTGTGACTTTCCATATCATCCTGTGTTACTCCTTTTTACCTTGGTATTCAGAATGGGTTGTGCTTAAGTAGTTGATGCTACCCAGCTTGCTACGATGATGGTGTTGCCCATTCTGTTCCCCAGCTCCTCTGTTTTATTAAAATGCCAATCAACCTCATGTAGCCATGTTGCCTTCTTCCCTTTGAATTTCTTTGGGGTTTTCATTTAGATATAATTTGAACTTCACATACATTTTGTTCTATATTATCAGTGTGAAATATTACTGATATATATGCTGTGCTTAAGTTATATTATTTTTCTGTGCTTTTCTGATATAGACTTCATGAGAAAGTCATCTAAATTTGAGACAATAACTCTAAACTTTGGATTGTATTAACAAATGTAACATTACATTGGGAGGAATTTCTCAAGTAATACCCTCAGCTCCCATGATAAATTAATAGTGTAGGAATCTGGTATTTTTCAATAATTATGCCAATTTTTATGGGTTTGAAAAATTCCCTTGCATAGTAAATTTTAAATGTTTTAAGTGATTGAAAATAATCATAATAGAGATAACTAACCTATTTGTATCTTTAATTTCCTGTATGTGTGGTTTTAAAGGAGAATGCCCTCCACAGGCTCATATGTTTGAATGTTGTATCCATAGTTGGTAGCACTATTGTAGAAAGGATTAGAGGGTGTGACATTGAAGGACATTTGCCACTGGGGTGGCTTGAGGTTTCAAATGCTTAAACAAAGCTTAGTGTCTTATTCTCTGTCTCCAGATTGTAAGAGTGAGATGTAAACTCTCAGCTACCACCCCAGTGCCATGCCTTCCTGCTTGCTGGCTTGATGCCTGCCATAATGATTAGGGACTTACCCCCTAACACTGTAAGCAGCTCCCTAATTAAATGTTTTCTAATGGTGTCTCTTCACAGCAATAGAAATGTAACTAAGGCATCATATAACTTTTACAACCTAATTTAATGTATAGCTTTAATCATAAATTAAATGCTCTCACCCCCTGCCCCTGAATAGTACATGTATGTATGTGTGGGGCAGGCATCAAGCCAGCAAGCAGGAGACTGTCAGGCTTCCAACAGACATATATAGCAGACAGGCTGCACACAGACTGAAGATACAGGTAGAAGAATGGAAAATTCAAATTTAGACTTGTTCTTTATCAAATTAATCCACAAGAGAAAGTGCTGTGTTTATACCCCTTAATGTGATATGGACACATTTTGGTCCCTCTGAGGTTATTCTAAATGTAACCACTGGAACAAGGTACCCACAAGGACTCATTAGAGTGTCCTACATACTCCAGTACAAACTTCCTCCTAATGTTTTCAAATGACACTGCTAGCTGGATACCACACCTTCAAAAACAAGCATTTGGGGGCAGACCTTATATTGAAATATAACAAGGAGCTTACATGATAATTGTAAAAGATTCTACATCTCTCCCTATAAGCTCAAAATATAGTAATTATAGTAAATATAAAATAGGCTACAGGAAATGTGGGAGCTGTTAACAGAAGGCACAAACAAGCTGCAGGGAAAGAGATGGAATCAGAATAGGCTCCAAGGTTCAACAATGAAAAATACTTGCATAAATAACATCAGAACCTGGTCTAACAAACAGTGGAATGTAAATATGTGTGGGAAATGAGAGGAGTAGTATATGGAAGTGAAATATTACTTTTCCATAGAAGGAAATAAGTAACCCTATGAGAAAGAAGAAAATTAAAACTATAAAAGCAGTGGAAAAAAAGTACAGCAAAATTAAATGTGAATGGAATGCCTTAGTAAAAGATACTGCTGAACATTAAAGACACCCAGAGAGTCCTGGAGTGGTGGTATATGACTTTCATCCCAGCCTCATTCATACAGCAACGGCACAGTGATAAACATAAATAATTATTTCCTATTAGCTTGGTGTTTCTGTGGGACTATTAACAGCAAGAGTTGGGGGTTTCTAACTCTCTTGCTCTTCTTGGGAGTGTTTTCCTACTACTGGGTTGTCTCACCAAGCCCTAACATGAGGGGTTGTGTCTAGTCCTATGGTAACTTTTTAAGCTATTTGATATCCCTGGGAGGCCTGTACTTTTCTGAAGAAAAAGAGAGGAGGAGTTGATCTGGGGAAGAGGGGATGT